TCAGCTGATGAAATCAAGGGTCGAGAGTATTGCAAATATCATAACTCCTGGAATCACGCAACTAATAATTGTGTTATTTTTCGTAATGTGATTCAGGCACAGATCGAGAAGGGGGCATGGAAGTTCCCGGAGAAGAAGAAAGAGGTGATGAGCGTGGACAGTGATTCATTCCCAGCCTTGGTCAGCAGTAACATGGTCGAAATCTCAATGGCCAGCAGGCCACGAAGAAAAATTGATTTTGAGGATACTTCAGCTAACAGAGAAAGCAAGGCTGAAGGAAAAAAGCCAATGGTTAAGGAAACTCCAAGGTCTAAGGATGACTTAGAAAAGGAGTTGCGGGAGGCTCAACTGGCACTGATCAAGCAAGGATTATGCCCTAAATGCAAGACGGACATTGGAAGGGACCGAGAGAGGTTCCACAGCGACACTCGGGGACGTCCTAGAAGTTCACGTCATGAAAACAGACCTAGGTCACCCTCGTCTAGGGTGCCTGTGATAAGTCGATTAACATGGCCTGATAGAAGGTCTAATACTAATGAGCATCACAAGCGAATGCGAGAAGTGAACACCAACAATCGGTCAAGGAAACTTACTCATGCTGTTTGGAAGCCTAGAGAGTATAACTCAAATGCGGCTCGCCAAGCTGAGACATCAGTTGACCACCCAAACCATAGGCAAAGGATGGTCAAGCCACTAGTCACTGACGATGGTCGATGGTCAAGGGTGAGTCATCCAAAGTTCTCTAGGGTCAGGGATATCCCGCCAGCATTCATGACTATTCGTTGGTTATTAGCGGCATCCCGAAAACGTCCGGGTCGAAATATGGCTTTCAAATTACGGTGGCAGTGGATGAAAACTGAGTTAAAGAGGATGGAAGAAAAATATTCAGCTCCACAGCCAGAGAAGGTGACTTTGCTTAGGAGAGAATCTATCAAGCAAGATTCAAAAAGTGATCCGAAAGGAAAATCTAAGGAGGATAGTGCAGACGGAAATGGGTGCACTGAAGAGAAATGTGCTTCTTCCTCCATGAAAGAAGCTGAAGATGAAGCAGGATTTGGTGATGATGAACTCGACCTGGATGAGCAAGATGATGGTTCAAAAGGTATCAAATTTGGTTCATTTGAAGGAATTGTGAATTGCAATATGGTTCTTACCTTGCCTCATATTTTTGAGGCTAAACCTGATCAACCCTCCGCTATGGAAGGAGACGTCGAGGTGATCGATGATGAAGGTCAGGAAGTTCCAAAGATTATTGAGAACCCATCTGAGTTAGTCTCTGAAGATAAGAAACAGAAAATCGCTGTGATAAGAGCTAAACCACGAGATGATGAGTCAGTAACTATTGGGAGAGATCAGGCGGCTAGGGTGATTTTTGAGAAGCCTTCTGCGGCAATGTCTCAACACTTGAAACCACTCTATATCAGAGTGTTCCTAGAAGGGATGCCAGTGTCTCGGGCACTGATAGATAATGGATCTGCGGTTAATATCCTTCCGATGAACACCATGAGGTTGCTGCAAAAAACGGAAGATAACTTGATTCCCACTGACTTGACAGTCAGTAATTTCACGGGGGGCAGAGCTAGGACCAGAGGGGTGGTCACCTTGGAAATGACAGTTTGAAAATGTAAGACAATGACTGCATTCTTCGTAGTCGACGCAGGGGCGGCTTACAACGCTTTGATTGGGCGTGATTGGTTACACCCACATTTCTGCATCCCTTCTACCCTCCACCAGTTTATGATTTTCTGGGATGGGGATGAAATCCAAGTCATATGGGGAGACAATAAGCCTTTCGAAGCTCGGGTCCATGTGGCTGATGCAGTTTTATATGAGGAGGAAATAGGTCATGTGAGGCTCATTGGTTGTGACAAGTATGGCAAGCCTGAGAAGGCGACGATGAGGAGAAATCTGACAGACGGGGACTTATCCGATTTATTCAAGGAACTATCAAGGCCAAGTGTTATCTGCGAGCCAAGGCCGATAGTTGAAGTTGATGAACAACAGGTTGTTGATGGACCAAGCCCAAAAGGAGAAGGAGAAAATGCTAGCATTTAAAGCTAGCATGGCGCGGCTGAGAGCATATCTCGCCGAAAGACGGGCAATGTTGTGGAGTGATATGTCGGCCAATATGGCCGAAATCATAAAAGAAGGTGAGTCAGGGGATTGTCGAGATGTTATTCGGCTAGAAGAGCTAGATGCAGCCCCAGCTAAGCTAGAGGATCTGAAAGCCGATATTCAGGATCCCTTGTTGGAGATCAATTTGGGAGTAGAGGAAGAGCCTTAGCCAACCTACATAAGTGATCTTCTAGAACCTGACTTTAAAGCTGAACTGATCTTGTTGCTTAGAGAATATAAGGATTGTTTTGCTTGGAATTACACTGAGATGCCGGGATTACCAAGGCAGCTAGTCGAGCATCAACTACCTATAAAAGAAGGTTTTAGACCGTTCAAGCAAGCGCCTAGACGTATGTCAACAGAAGTGACCATGAAAGTGAAGGAGGAAATTGAGAGGTTGCTTAAAGCAGGATTCATCCAGACCACAAGGTATTGTGATTGGCTATCCAATATCGTTCCCGTGGTTAAGAAGAATGGAAAGATTAGGGTGTGCGTAGACTTCAGGAATTTAAATTTAGCTACTCCAAAAGATGAGTATCCAATGCCCATGGCCGATCAATTGATTGATGCGGCCGCCAAGAATGAGATTCTGTCATTCATGGACGGTCACTCAAGATACAACCAGATATTTATAGCAGAGGATGATGTTAACAAAACGGCATTTAGATGTCCGGGAGCCATAGGCACTTTCGAATGGGTGGTGATGCCCTTTGGTTTGAAGAATACCGGAGCCACTTATCAACGAGCTATGAATGCAATCTTCCATGACATGATTGGGAAATTTATGGAAGTATACATTGACGACGTGGTGGTGAAATCAGCGACAAAGGCGAAACATCTGGCCGACTTGAGGAGATCATTTGAGAGAATGAGAACCCATGGTTTGAAGATGAACCCACTTAAATGCGCCTTTGGAGTGACAGCAGGGAACTTTCTAGGGTTCTTGGTGCATCGGAGGGGTATCGAGGTCGACAAGAATAAAGCTAGGGCAATCATCGAAGCTCAACCACCTCGCAACAAGAAGGAGTTACAAAGACTGGTTGGTCAAATCACATACTTGGGAAGGTTTATTTCAAACCGTGCTGGAAAGATCCATACCTTTTCTCCGCTCTTAAAGCTCAAATCAGAGGAAGACTTTCGATGGGAAAAGCATCACCAACATGTGTTTGAATCAATCAAGGAATATCTTGCTAACCCTCCGGTCCTTATGCCACCTAGGAAGAAACAGCCGCTGAAGTTATATATTTCAGCCGCGGATGAGTCAATCGGAAGTTTGTTAGCCCAAGATAATGAAGTAGGGAAAGAACAGGCAGTGTATCACCTTAGTCGTATTTTGACACCGGTTGAGCGTCGATATACGCCAATCGAAAAAATGTGTCTTGCTTTGTATTTTGCTGCTCACAAATTGAGAATATATATGCTACCTGTTTTAGTTTATGTGATTTGTGCCACTGACTTGATTAAGTATATGCTTTCTCGTCCAATAAAATCTGGACGAATAGGCAAGTGGTCCTTAGCCCTTATGGAATTCAGTTTCCAATATGTGCCTCAAAGGGCCAAGCACTTGCTGATTTCCTAGCTGACCATCCATGCTTGGATGTTGATCCGGGATTCTATGATGCAATGGAGTTATGTGCTATTCAGCTAACTCCTTGGACTCTAATCTTTGACGGATCCAGCACAAATGATGTCAGGGGAGCTGGAGTTGTAATAATTGCACCAAATGGCAGGAAAACAACATATTCTTTCTTTCTAGATTTCAAATGTTCTAACAATCAAGCAGAATATGAAGCTTTGATTATTGGTCTTGAAATACTCTTAGAGATGGGGGCACAGACCGTTGAAATCATAGGTGATTCAAGTCTAGTGATCGGTCAGTTGTCTAGCAATTTCAGGTGCCAAAGTTAGCACCTCAAACCATTTCATTCTATAGCCATGCAATTACTACAAGAATTTGCAGAGGTAAAGGTCAAGCATGTTTATAGATTGCATAATAAAGAGGCCAATGATTTGGCTCAAATAGCATCTGGCGTTAGGGTGCCAGAAGGAATAATGGAAAATTTGATCAGAATAAAGAGAAGATCACTACCCTCAGTTAAGGTGAGGGAAAAATTGTTGGCAGAGGTCTTTGCAATCGAGGTGGAAGAGGATATGGAAGAGAATGATTGGAGAACACCAATCGTCGATTTTCTCAAAAATCCAAACCCTAAGGCTGACAAGAAGCTAAAGATCAGAGCTCTTAAGTTTGTGATGATTGATGGAGACCTATTCAGGAAAAACATTAAAGATGACCTACTCTTAAGGTGTGTCAGTAAGAAAGAAGCCATGAAAGTAATGGGAGAGACCCATGAAGGGATATGTGGTGCTCACCAAGCTGGGATAAAAATGAAGTGGCTGATTAGAAGGTACGCCTATTACTGGCCCGGGATGCTTAAAGATTGTATCACATATGCCAAAGGATGTCAAGCATGTCAAAGGCATGGGCCAATCCATAGAGCCCTGGCGATTGAATTACAACCAATCATAAAACCATGGCCTTTTAGAGGATGGGCTATGGATTTGATAGGGAAAGTTTATCCACCTTCTTCTAAACAACATTGTTTTATCATTGTGGCAACTGACTACTTTACCAAGTGGGTCGAAGCGGTGCCCATGAAGTCAGTGCACCAAGAAGATATGATTCGGTTTATCAAACAACATGTTATTCATAGATTTGGGATCCCATAATCAATCACAACTGATCGAGGTTCAACCCTTGTTGCCAAAGAAGTGCAGGCATTTGCAGCAGAGTACGGGATCAAGCTCCTAAACTCAACCCCTCACTTTGCAAAGGAAATGGTCAAGCCGAGTCGTCTAATAAGACGCTAAAAGGCATCATTGAAAAAATGGTGGAAGATAACCCTAGGGTGTGGCATGAACTGTTATCAGAAGCACTTTGGGCATATAGGACTTCTCAACGGTCAAGCACAGGTGTGACTCCATTCATGCTCACCTATGGTCATGATGCAGTTTTGCCTATGGAAGTGATTGTGCGGTCAATGAGATTCGCATTGCAAAACAATTTGACCCCTGCTGAATATAATGAGTCTATGCTGGTCGAATTGGAGGACCTAGACGAAGTAAGGTTAAGGGCTCTTGACCACATACAAGTTCAGAAGAGGCGAGTAGCAAGGGCATATAACAAGCGTGTTAGGGCCAAAATCTTCGGTGAAGGTGACTTGGTTTGGAAGACTGTCCTCCCAATGGGTGTGAATGATCAAAAATATGAAAAATGGTCACCAAATTGGGAAGGTCCATTTATGGTTTACAAAGTCTTAAAAGGAGGCGCATATCATTTGCAAGATCTTGACGGGGAAATACACCCTCGACCGGTTAATGGCCGATACTTAAAGACTTATTATCCTACAATGTGGGAGACAATGGAGAATAAAACCAGAGATGGTTAAATAACCAGAAGCCATAGAGACTTGCATTTCATTCATTGTTTTCATTGAGTACAAAAGTTTATAAGAGTCATTACCTATCATTTTCTTTTCAGATAAACAAAATGACTCCTGAGCTCATCCCACTCTTTCTTACACATGGCCATTTTTTCATCCTCTTTGGCCTTCTCAGCCCTCAGTCGAGGAATTTCTTTTGAGACCGATTCTCTCTGCTGATCAATTTCCACATTCTTTTGATAAATCTCCTTCATCTGAATAGCGAGTCCTTCTCTTGACCGGGCAGTTCCAGTCAATACCATCTTGAGACGTTCTATCTCCCGTTCGATCTCTGCTACTCTTTGGCTTTCCCTAACATGAGTTAATTTTAAGGTCCGAAAATAGGAAACATTGTCTTTCTTTTGTTGAATCAAAGATTCTTGCTCCTGCAACTTTTCATGGATTGTAGATGACAGCTCACCAGCCTTCTGAGAGGAGAGTTGAAAATCAGAGACGAGAGTCGGGAATCGACTCTGGACAGATTGAAGATGGTTTATCTGTTCTTGACTTAAGTCATGATGATCTATCAAGACGGACATGGCATCAGTCACATCAGCAGCCAAACTTGGCATCTCAGAGAGGTCTCGGGAAACGACGGCGACTAGTAATCTTTTTGCCCCCTCAATATCTGGCGGACGACTGGAAGACGTAGGCACAACAACTGGCTCACTCATCAAGGGATCTAGATCAAACCCAGCCAATATCTCAGAAAAGTAGGCATCAAAGTCATCGATCGTGCTATAAGTTTGAAGGGGCGGTTGGGACTGAGAATTTGAGCCAGCTTGCGAATGAAAGGAATTTGGTAAAACAAGTCAAGGCTTGAATAAGAGAATAAGTCATAAATACTCACACCAACTGGTGAAGGCCGAGTCACGTGGCCAAAGGTGCGTCTGGTAGCAAACGCTGGTGCAGAGTAAGGGCTTGGAACTCTTGGTTGTGTGCCCGGGGCAACCTGCAAGAGAAGAATGTTTCTGAATGCCTAACTTTGATAAAGATATATGGGAGATGTACTAAAAGATCATCTTGAAAATCACCTCAGCCCCATCAAACTGATGAAAGACAGTGTTTGGTTGAGTAGTGGCTTGTTGACACTCGACTCCACTAGTGCGAGGGTGATCAGCATTCGCAATGTCATCACAAATGTTGATCCTATCTCTTGACAACGACCTAGTCGAGTGTGAGGAAACCTGTCCATAAAGATGCCATTAGAATCGGCAAGGTACATTGATACTGGAAGTAAAAACAAAGCCTAGTTACCTCACGGCTGGTAGAGATATTTGTCTCAACTGAGAAAGTCGATGGCATCAAGGGGTCAGGATTTTCTTCCTCCTCTTCATCGATCAGAGGTAAAGGGTTGGTGGTCCTGACTGAGGCAACCTGTTTTTTTCCTTTCCCTGCCCTGATCACCTGGAATACCATTAAGGTTAAAAAAGAGGTATTAGGTGGTACATATAAGTAAGCTAAAGTTCTAAGAGATTATGCTTTGAAGAATTCATAAGGAAAACCTTAGGCCTCTTGGGGAGCACCACGTTTTCCTCGTCAGCCTCAGGCATTTCCACCTCATGATCAGAAACTCCCAATGGGTTACAGAAGTCAACAACTGCATAAAGGAAAAGATATTCTTATGATCTAAGGCATAGAACTTGGTATTTATATATATGTAAGTGTGAGTGTGTACCTTCTTTGGATGACTTTGATTTTTTCGTCCTGCTGGGAGAACTAGGATTAGCCACACTGATCCCTTTTGATGGCTTGGTCGAGGCTCCTTGGGGTTTAATAAAAATGGAGGCAATCCTATTTATTATAGTGCGAGAATCCTCCACCATAACCTCCGCAATATGGTTTCCCCACCAGTAGTCAAAGGATGGAGAAGTATCAGGATTTTCCAAAAGTGGCTGCAAAGAGAACTTGTTACAGAGACGGTTAAACCGGGAGGATACTCTATCCACCGTTTCTTTTGAGGTGAAGACTGCTCGTTCCAAGAAAGAAGTATTGAAAGATCGAAAAGGCGGAAGTGGAACGAGTTGGGTGAGACCAAATTGTCTAGCAAATTGTGGGGGATTGTAATACTCCACCCCACACTTACTATTTGGAGAGCCCATTCTTGAACATCCATAAGAGATGTCCCTAGCAATCAAGAAACTGGCCCAGGTTTGTGTATGTTCGTCTTGGCAACTCGGTGGAGCTTGGGCAGGGGGATAGGAAAGCCACAAAGGTCGCCTCGGTCTAGGAGAGAATGGCAAGAAAAGATGACTGGCCCGGTATGCAGGGAGTTTGTAAAAGAAAGAGAACATGGTTTTGAACGATCTTTTTCCTGGTTGAATATGTGCATAATGATAGCCGGGAACAGGAACAGCGGTCGACAAGTCGAGATCGGGGTAAAGCTCAGGGAAATATGCGTATTCCCAAAGTTGTAACAGCCAGAATGGCCCAAAACAGGTTTTGAAGTTGGAAGCAACATATTCCCCGATGCCACGGTAAAGATAAGAAAGCAAAAAAGGAGCGAGAGCAAGTTTCTCGCCCGAGTGAAGAACAAAGGCCAATTAAGTAAATTCCTTAGTGACTGTGAGTGAAGAAACGCAAAATAAGAACCTGTTCAGCCAGTACACCAAGAAAGAAATATGCTCGGCGATGGAGATCGAAGTTCCTTTACCTTTGCTGGCTTTAATAAAAGGGCCATGGGTAGTAATGTGCTCAGAAGCGTCAGGTTTCTTTGGATATTCATAAGCTACTTCAGGAACGGTGAGAAGTGAATTTATTTCTGTACCGTGAGGCCTGAGCCCGGTAAGAAAACAGATATCTTGCACCGTCGGGCCAATTATACCACACCGAAGATGGAAGGCATTGGTGGAACTCGACCAGAAAAAGAGTAATGAGACGAGAGCCTCTTTATCAATAGAGATTCAATTTTTTGAAAGAATGATGGCATCGTAAATGCCGACCTCCTTCCATAATGCTCCGTAGTGAGGTTCGACCCGATCAACCCAATCAATCTAGTCACTTTGAGGGATCGGGCAATTTTTGAAAAGGTTGGAAGAATCCACAAGATTAGAGAACTTGCGCTGAAATGGGAGTTGCTCCTCAGCTAAGGGACAGTAGGGAAGAAGTGAAGTTGGTGGACTATCTCTGAAGGCTGGAGCAAGGCCGATTCTAGGTGAGGAGTCAGCACCTAGGACACTGGCTAACACTTCACTAGTGTTGAAAATATCTGTAGCAATGATCTCGTTGACGAGATTTTGAACAATCCCAGCCCGACTAGAAGATTTATTACTGGCTGGAATTGCTGTGTTCTCAGCGACAATCGTTGTGTTCTTATTACCACCTATTGGCTGAGAGACTAAGGCAAGGAAAGAATGAAACTAAATTAGAGAATAACCAGTGAAAAGGTTAATGGAAGCCAAAATTTTGGTTTACTGACGAAGAGGAAATTTCATTTCAAAATACTCACTGGTCAACTGGCCGGAGCCGACGTATTTACAACGGCAATTGTTGGATTTCTTTTGATACCCTTTATCTAAAATCTAGCAAAAAAGGGTGAGCAGACCTCTAAATAATAGCTGTTATCAGGAAATTACAACAATTATTGGCTTATAATGAAAATAGACGATACTAATTTTGTTTATAATAATGTTCAAGTCAAGTTAAGGCCACTTAATTCAATACTCCAGATAAAATGCCAAGATTGATTTTTATGTTTGAGCCATTGGTGTACATGTATATATGTATAAACATGTATATGAAGAAAATGCAATGCACATACCAGTGGTCGCCGTTTTCGGCGTGGTGACGATCTTTGATTTGTTCCTTAGATTTTTAGATTTCTCTGGTGACAGAAAAACAAGGAACCAACTGCGTAACAGACCATGGCTTATTCAAGATCAAATGAGCAGTTTCTCTAATGATGGGTTTGTCTGTATCCACCTTAAAGATTACTGGACCTTCAGTTTTCACGAACCAGTTTGTAAACCAAGAAGCTCCGAGAATGAACCAAGAATTTGAGAAAAAAGATAAGTAATTTTTTTGGAGTTTAGTGTTTTTTATATTGTGGAGGCTGTTTGGAAGATATGGCGTATCAAGAATGAGTTTTTGTAACTCATCAACTTTCAAGATGGTGACGAAATAATTGGAAGCAGTTAAAGTGGCGACTGATAGCCAAAAATCCGGTCACGTGGGAGATCCAAGTTAAGCAGAATTGGGAACTGAAACTGTAGGTTTTAGTGTTTTGCCTATAGAAAGTAGTGGGTCAGAGAGGTTGCAATCAGTTGACTTCTTAATAAAAGTGAAACCTAAGCTCCAATTATTTTATAAAACCCAAGCGCCGAATACTACAACAGCAAGCAACGGCGCATTGAGCTCCCAACCCAGTCGTCCAAATGAAACATCAAGTCCGTGCTCAAGTACATGTCAGTACATATCTTTGACAGGTAATTTAATTTATTGGTCAATGCCTATTAGGAAATAGGTTTGCATGATGGTGGTTGGATGGATGATATTGCATGCATGTCGCATAAAGTGAGTATCTGTATATTTATATTCATATTACATATGTGTATATCTACAAAAACACCATACCATTGAAGACCTACCCAGTTCAATACCCGCCACCTAAAATCAACATAGTTCCGGCGAAACTTCAGAGACAAGTTTAAGCCGCCGACGAGATTTCTGTGATTGCGGCGAGGTCCAACCCACTTCGGTAAGTTTCAGTTGGTTGCCGGTGCAAACTGTAGGCGATAGCTTAGCCCACTTAAAACCCAAGACTGGTGGGTGCATGGATGATGAAGAACGGCATGAGTATCATCTCTAGCAATGATGCCGCCGATGGGGTGACAACGTCGTAGCTGGTACTGGAAACGGTGTTTAACGCTCTTGGTGATTAATGTTGGTGTTTCCAGTCACCATCTCACCTCGTGATCACTTGGACGCCGGCGATGACTCCATCAAGCAGCCCATCAGTGCCGATATTT